TGGCGGGGCTCCAACACACGCCAATCAGCATTTCGAATGCTTCTTGGTGGCACTGAAGCAGGTTGCTCAAAAAGGGGTGAGACGGCCGAGTCTAAATTAAGAGCAGTTTTTGGAGCAGCCAAGTTTCAAGTTCGGAAGCAGAAGAACCTTGCTTTGGAGCAGTTAGGGGCATTTAATATGTCGTCCTGGGAGCTTGAAGTTTTTAGCAATGGGGGGGGGGGGGCACGAGTGCATATTTCAATTGGCTAAAAATTCAACACTGAAGCACATTTTGAAAGAGTTTTTGAACAGATTATCACCAGGTATAAACTGCACTACCTTTTTCATACCCCATGGCCTGCCGAGCCCTCGTAACAAACATGTTCTAAAGAAACCGGCAAAGTTTAAAAAATATTTCAAGAAGGTTTTGTTGAACACTAGGTTCCTAGTAAACATTAAAAAGAAAAACACATCACGCTCAATAAATAAATTCAAACATTGTGATTGCACAAGAATTGTAGTTAAGTAACAGAGGGGACTTCGCTTCAAAAAAAAAGCCTGACATCATAGTGTGCACTGCAAGCTTTTAACAGACAACAAAAGCACGCTGCACCGCATTTGCGGCCTCCTCAAGCGGGGTTACCTTCAAGAGTGCTGCGCGAGAACTAGCGCGAGAACTAAGAAGCCTCGCCGCATCAACTATCTCGTAAAGCGCGTACGCATGGCAATGAGTGATAACTGAATGGTAATGATAACGCCTCTCCACGCGAGCAAGCCCGCATTAATCATGCGGCCCACATTGGCCAGTTTATTTTCTTAAATATCATAGGTAATCACTGTCGATGTAGAACTCGCGATGATTCACATACTTGCAACTGCCGCATACGCCACTCAGCGACTCGCTCAGTGCAGGTAAGAAATTTGCGTTTACGCAAACGAACTGCCTAAAGTACAGAGGCCGGTTTTATTGCAGGAATAAAAGAAAAAGTTCGCCAGTCACATTACGAAACAGCCGCTGACTGAAACACCGATCGAACAAAATGCAAACAAGCCTATAGCTCGTGTATCCCAGAGCCGTCACGCAGCGATGCCTCTTAAAGCGCTTCTCGCGAGTTTTTTTATTACAAAAACAGAGCAGTGGCAAATCGTTCATCTGTGCCACGTGATCGCCGACGTGTCATGAGTCACAAATAAAGCGCTGAGGTACCCGTTAGTATCGTTTAAAATGGTTTGAACGTGCGTTCTGTCATCACGGCCTTTGAAAATAACCAAGTGTTTGTTTCTACCTCCAGCGATGTGCGGATTTTGCGTGCAAGTGGCTTTTTTCTAATGCCAAATACAATGAGAACTCGACTGTCTAAATAAATTAGTAGCTAATGGGCTTAACCGAGAATAGGTTGCACGCATTCTGTCACTCACAGAACCCATTTTGAGGACCCATGTGCACGAGCCAGAGCATCCAGAAGACTCGTCAAATGCAAGGGAAATGACTACACGTTTACAGTTAGTCGCTCACGGCAAACGCGCACGCGTAGGTGACCACACGCAGCAGCGTCGACATGAAAACAGCAGCAACTGTAGGAATGCGCTATGCACAACAAAAAACCTGATAGTCAACGCCGCTACGCTTGCCACCGGACTCTGTGGTTTTCGCTAGGCGACACTGTCAGCAGAACACACAGCCTAGCTAGTATAAGCAATGCGAGAGATGCACAGCAGCACATTTTTGCAGGGTCATGCATATTTACAGTAGTTTAGAGGAGATTATGGCGGCACCACTGGAGCATTTGTCATAAGAAAGGTGCAAAGTAGAAAGAAAAAACAAAAGAACACGCAATGGTTGTGTCTTTATTTGTCAACTCGGCCTTTTTTTTCCCCACTGAAGCTGAGGTTGGCATCAAAATTGTACCGCTCAAGGTTGTTGTGGAGCAGTTTGGCGCAATTTCCGCTATTTTTATGCTTTTTGAGCAGCTTGGCACAAAGATAGGAAAAGGTATCGAAAATTCCCAATATGGGCAGCTGTCTCACCCCTGCTCATGATCATCTTACAACGACGCCACCACGTTGGAGCAAGCTGGGCATCTGACGTCGTGTGCTAGGCATGTGTACAACCATTTTTTCAGGGGTGGCGGGGGGGGACTATCGAAGGGCAACGTTTTTGTTTGTTGAGATATCTTAATGAAATTTTCAGGGTAGCCAGCCTGGCAGAGCCATATTAATAACCACGAATTTCCACGCATTTATGTTCACTGGTTCTAAAGTTACAGCCATTGGTTAGGATAGTCCACATGGGTTTCTTAGTCTGGCTCTGGTGAATATTCACAATGACGATTCCTACATGGGTGCCCTACACTAAGACAGCCGTTTTTCAAAACTTCCTTGCTTAAAATTTTAAGCAGATCACTGGATTTAGAGCTTGCTATATGGCTTTTATCAATAAAATTTAATTATCACAATTCACAGACTCAAATTAAAAAGTGGCTTTTCTTTGTTCTGGCATTTTATTAAGGTACATAATAAAGCAGACCTGATAGAAGTTAGATAAACTGTTCCAGAGATATCACCCAACTAAACAGCCTCACTGGCCAAAAAAAGTCATCATGAGAAAGCCAACTTTAAAGTTTCAAACGCATACTTTGGTCTAAAACAACCCTTCAATGTAAGCTAGATGTGTCCTTTGTGACCTTTTCCTTTGCTACTATTCTTGTTTGTATTGTACTTGTTTTAACCTTTTTGTGTTTTTTTTTTCTCAGTCTTTCTCCACAGTTTGTTGGTTGGTTAGATGGGCAGGCGTGAGCCTTACGGATGACAACTCTCGCGTGGCCCTGCAGCAGCCGGCATTGTATCTTAAAACTGCCTCATGGCACGAGATTTAGGCAGGTCGCTAAGGGAATTCCTTGGACGAGGAAATATTGCTTCGCCCTCAGTCGTAGCGGTGGCATCTTCAGGTATCATCTGAAACTTCCTCTCGATCGCCAGCATAGCGCCAAGCTATTCAACGCAACCAAGACTAAATTTGTAGTACTTTCGTCGCATCAAAAATATTAAGCACCCTTTCCTTCTTTGACTTCTGGCTCGCACTCTATTTTTCCCAGTCCCTGCGCTTCTTTTCTCAGAATCTCTCTCGACTCTAACTTGGAATACGTAGATCATATTTCTCACATCAAAAAGAAAATAGCGTACGGCATCCGCGATCTGATCAAAACTCGTCCATACTTCACACGTGCCACATTACTGTCACTGTTACTCCTGTTACTTTTAACAGGAGGTTGCGATACAGTCATAGTTTGGGACCTCCTTTTGTATACTAAAACATGTCACATTCTTGTATTCGTATTAATAAAAAATCTGAAAAAAAAAAAAAAGCTTTTGTTGCACAGCAACACGTTTGTTATCTTCCGCGGCTAACTGCTGAAAATGTGCCTGCAAATGCACAGTCGACACAGTCACACTGTTGAATGCAGTGATCACTGCGGTTAGCGAGCGCAACACACCAGACGCACTTGAGCACGAAACATCAACACCAGCCTCACTTATGACAACGAAGTCTAGCGGCGATCGCGTACCAATCTCGACGTTGCGGTAGACGTTGCTGCAGTCGTCTTGAAGAAACTAAACAAAAACTGCTCCACCAAAAGAATTATGCGGCTCTCGCCGCGTGAACGAGCCTCTCCATGCATACGAGCTTCATCTGACGCTTTCTTGAACCAAAAGCAAGCAGAATCTTAAACATTGTTATGCCCATCGTTACCAACAGCACAACAATCGGTGTACCGTGAACACGGTGAAAGATTGAAAAGCACATGTGAGGATTTACCGGGATGATGGCGAACGAACACACCAAAAACGCCAGCATTGCAAGAGCTGGAGCTGACAATGAGTGCGCATACCAGGAGAAGAGATGCATCAACGTGTGCAGCAGCCAATAGGAGCCACATGACGGCCCACTTCTCGAGAGGCACGCGCTTCACTCAGTCGCGGCTTCGCATCGGATCTGCGGAAGACTAACAAAACTTCTAGAGCCCCTCAATCATGAGCGATTCCTGCCTCGGCCCAGCCGCTGCCGCGGGTGGCAAAAAAAAAATAAAAGCGCAAGAATTGACGAGCAATAAACTAAGATGGCGGCGCTAGGCCGCGTGGTCCGAAAATTGCGGGAGCACGAAGTTCGGGTATTTTCAGCCGTTGCTCGCCACGACATGTTATATGACGTAATTTTTCTATGAATTAGACTGATATTTACAGAACTGATAGTTTACAAGACTTATCACCCTAATATGATGTTTTCAAAAAATAGACATTCACAGTTTCTTTGTTTTCAAAGGGCGTGTCCTCCCTTAAAGATTATTAACTTTCTTTGGACACTTCAATGCAGAAACTTCAGTCTGTCCATCTGCCAAATGAAACTTTTAAGCCCTTGCGTAACGCCCAGCCATCTTGATGCTATGGCTGCGTTCACACTTGCAAAAATAGTTTATCTGAAGCTAATGTTACGTGTATTTGAGCCACAACATCACTATGTAAATGTTAGGTAGTGCGTTTCTTCATAATATTGCGTAGATATGCAATTCTAAAGACCGTAGTGTTTCTTACGCTGTGCTTACAATCCGGCGCTATGAACGAAAAATCGGGTGTTACCTACACTTTGCTGAGTTGACACGGTGTGGCCACCCACCAGTGGCTCTGCATTCTACACTGCTTCCGTTTCCCAACATTACTGTCAGTTGGCGTCCACATCTCTCACAGTGCCTCCTTACGAAACATTTACCATTTTCGGCGACCTTTGCAGCAAAACACACAGATGCGCGGCCAGTTTTTCATCGAACTACAGTGGAACTACTAGTTCTCCAGTTTGCCAAATACAACTACCCAATTAACCAAGAAAATAAATCATTCGCACAAGTTCATTACTTCAAATGGTTCGCTAACAAGTGCGGCGTCTTCAGAACTCTCAATCATTTGCAATATGAACAGTGAGAGTGACACTTTTACGTCACACTGTTCATGCAAAAATGTGCTCTCACCTTCTTCCTGAAGATAGGCTTGGTCTGACCACCATATCCCCTCTGCTTACGGTCGTAACGACGCTTGCCTGCATGGGAAAGAAGTCCACCACGTAACGCGTTTGCTACACACAATCACAAAACGCGACGCAACCACCCTAACACATGGGTTACCGAACATAACTGGAGACAAACACGCTGTAACGACCGTGCAAGCAAACTTTCATTGCAGTCCAATGTATAGGTTCATACACATTGAGGGGAAATGGCTTGCGAGTACTCAACACATTTTTTCATCTTCAACATTCGTTCTACTTCACAAGAAAAACCTTATTTGACACTGACAGTGTAAGTAAATGAAATGCTTTTTCCAATTTTTACGATATATCATCAGCCATACTCGCTTCATTACCTTTCACCAACCTAACACACCAGCGCATGTCACAAGAAACTGCTGCTGTGCCTACTACCACGAAACATTGAAGCAATTTGCGTCCATGTGAACCGTTTTGAAACCGTTCAAATAGCCTCATTCTCTGCCCGTTTCAGTTCACTGCAGGGGCAAGGTCCCTCCCAATGATCTTCAGTTTAACCTAACCAGTGTGAGCCACTTCCATTTTATCCCCGTGAACTTTGCAAGTTCGTCATTCCATCTAACTGTCTTCATCAACTGCATTTCCCATCTATTATTAGCCATTCTGTTGCCCCTACCGTCTTCTGGTTGTCCTACGCATTACATAGACAGCCCCAGTTCATTTCTTTCGTTTGATATCAACTAGAATGTCCCCTGCCGTTTGGTCCTTGGCCATCCTGCCGTCCTCATGTTACTCCAACACAGGTCCCACGCGGTCACACGCGATTGTTCTCAGTTGAGCGAACCGAGAACTCCTTAGTGCACAACTGCATCTTCATTGCGAGGGCCCATATAATTATCTGCATCAATGCAATGTTTGTTAAGCACAGTACACACTGGTAGTAGTACGTGCCTCCACCATTGGCGCGGTGCGCTGGAATGACAAGTCGTCAAGAAAAGCTCTATAGAATTCGAATTCACTTCCAGAGGCAGCTGTGATGATGCCACGGATGAATTAAAAATGCACAAGGCAATTTACTGAAAAACTTGAGTTTTCTAAAAGCTTATTCAGGATGCAGCTAGGCTGGTATGGTGTGCTAAATTATATCCTAACTGCTGAATACAGCAAAATCATGCGTATGAATGGCACGCAATTAAGCGATCCCAGCCTTACAGGCATTCTGGCTCAACTATCAGATGTGTGATCTGCATTCAACAAGTTACTGTGTAAGTTGACTCCACGAAATTGCATCAAGTGCCAAAAGTTTCATTCAATCAGTTACAGTGCAAGATGACACCGTGATTGTACGTCAAGTGGCATACCTTTTCTTTTCGACTACCTGCTGCACAAATGTGCTTGCGAAATGATCGCAAAAAAAAACTATGCGTTCGTAATGCTTCCAAATCAACACATCACTGCGACATCTACCACACGCAATCACAATGTGCTTGAGCACGCTTTTTTTTCCCAGACGAAACACAGCACATTCATAGTTCCTGCAGCGCCGTGGTTTCTCACAAACGTTCAACTGCCAGCTAGCACTTGGAACAATACATGCTTTTCAACTGCAGTGCTAACCATGGTGTCGAAAAGCGTCGTACACTGGAATACCAAACACCAGCATTTCAAACGAGACGCATTTTCGGTAATCATTGTGAAGACAATCGAAAGATGGTGCACTGAAACCTCGTGTCATTCGTCATCGCGCAAGCTTTGCGTCCCAATAATTCACGCGAGAAAACCGCTCACGTAAATAGGTCCGTACTACTCACCCTGCGCGTACAAGGAATCCTTGCCCTTCTTGTACTGTGTCACCTTGTGCAGGGTGTGCTTCTTGCACTTCCCCTTGCAGAAAGTCCTCCTCTGTTTGGGCACGTTCACCTAACACGCACACGCGCACAGGAAAAAAAAAAAAAAAGGCACGATTACCTCCCAGTTGTAATCCCTGTCGCGACGATGCGTCGAAACATCGCGCAAGCTTTCGAAACACCGAACAACCCGGCGACCATACAGACCCAGTACGCGCTTCTGAAGTCGTTCACCGTTAACTATAGTTAGCAAAGTTATCGAGAGAAATAATAACGCCCGCAAAACGACGTTAACACATCGACTACCACGCCAGTTGTCTAATGCCAAGAGGGATCGCCGTGTTGTGGCAACGCGATTTCCCGATACCAAAAACTGCTCTTGTGCTCGTCCCTACCATAATATATATATACGAATCGAAGGTTCGAGGATCCCTCTACAAGCTCATTAATTGAGCGGACTCGATGAAAGCGTTTCGATGGGATTAATAACAATTTATCGCGGGAGCCGGCACATAGAACACACACGCTTACCATTGTGCCACTTTCTAAAGAGGAAGTCACGTGCCGCTTTTGCTACGACGTCACCACTTTTTCCAACGTCACATTCTGGCACAGGGGTAGCAAAGGGGGAAGGCACTAAAAACCTCGTTGGCAGCTTCGCTTTGGTCTTCGTAGTTGCATTAAAACTTCACATTTAAGTCTAGCCGCAGTAATTTATTAGTTGTTGCAGCTGTTTTTTTTGGCATTAGCCGTCAATTACAGACATGTTTGTTGGAGTTTAAAGTTAGGCAACGGGGCTCTCTGCGCTGCACTCGCTCCACGCGCCATTTTTACGAATTTGAACAAAGGCGAGCGGCTGTGCGTCGGCTCTTCCCCGCAGTTCGCACAGAAAACAGCCATGAGTTCAGGCGACAAGCAAGCCGACGTCGCGACGCAGCAGGCCGACGAAGTCATCTCGGCCAAGGAGAAGGGCGCCGGCGACGCCAAGACGGAGAAGTCGCCGCAGAAGCGGACTTCGGCCGAGGTGAGCGAGCAAGCGAAACGCCGGCTCTTGCCGGCGCTTATGTCCGTTGTGCAAGCCTTCGGCGCGCCGTCGCCGGCCTTTGCCGCTCTCAGTTTACACGTCGGGATCGCCGTATTGAGACGTCGACTACGACCTTAAACCCCGTCCAGAGCGTCTCGATCGTTTCGCCGTGTTCCGAACCGCGCGAGACGTGCGCGGGTTGTGCGTTAGCGCTGCCGGAAAGGTGTCTTGAATTAACATCAGTCATTATGGAAGTGCTAGTGCGGGGGGTCGCGGTAAGCCTAACGCCGGCTGAAGCGCTGTTCTGTTCATATTTTTTTCTCTGATCCCGTCGCGTTTTCTTCAATTGCTTCGGTACCTGTTAGCGTTTCCTGCGCGAGTGCCCCCCCCACCCCCTCCCACCCAATGATCACGATGTTCCGCGGACGCTACGCCGAGTAGGCTATAGCTCCCCTCCCCCCCCCCCCCTCCAACCATTCCGAACCTATTCGCTGCTTTCGTTTGCTCGAAAAAAATAAAAAGCGTCGGCTTCCGTCGTGTTTACGGCCTTGCGTGCGCTGGCGGTTTCGGCAACTTATTTTTGCTTCGCTGCTGGCATTCCATTATCTCGGAAACGGAACATAAAACGGCCAGGGCGCGTTCTTTTTCGCGAAGTCCCGCGATGCCGTTCCATCGCGCGTTTTTTTGTTTCGCTTTTTATCGGACTTCGGTACCGGGTTTCCGTTCGCGTTTTCGGATGCTTCACCGCGAAGCCCCCTGTCTACTTTCGATCGTCGAAATTACCGGAAAAGCGATCGTCGTTGTGTGGGAACGGCTTCCGACGTTCTGCAGCTCATACCGTTCCTCCTAAATTTCGGGGCCGGCTAGTTAGCGTGTGCGATATCGTGCGGGGCAATCGCGGTATCTTGGGACTGGCGCTGTTCGCTCACACCCCCACGCATCAGTCTGTTGAGCGGCCGTTCGCTTAAAAGGTTCCGGGTCAAGTCGCTTCTTTTTTCCGCTTGTTTAGTCGGTGTCGTCCGCCGCCGCCGCGCAGAGGGGTTATTTATAATCGCCCAGTAGCGACCGCGCCGATCATTCGCCTACCCCCCCCCCCCCCCCCCCTCCCGATCTGCCTGTAGCACGAAAACGTCGTTTTACTTGTTGATAGCCTTATCCGCTGCTAACAACCCCTGCCTGCTCGTGTGTAACGAGACTTTTTTTTGTGTGTGTGTCTGGCGAGTTTGTCTGCGATTTCTGTCCCCGATTAGGTGTTTTTTTTTTTTTTTTCCGCGCCCCGTTTTTATCGTCGCCCGGCGGCCGCTAAGCAAAGATAGAGCCACTCCTGTGTGGCTGGCTTTACCGCGCGATATCTAGCAGTTCCGCCGTTTTCGCTCGCGTCGCCATTTTATTTTCTTTATTTGATCTTTGCTGCGGTTTCACCGTGTCCGTCGCCCCCGGCTCAACGACAGTTTCGCACGTTTTGTGAATCTTATCTGTTCTTTGCCGGACCGTTGTAGGAACAGAGCCGGTGCCGACGCGACTAGCCCGGTCGCGCGCGGGGGGGGGGGGGGGGGGTATATGTAAACGGAAAAAAACAGATGAACACCGTGCCGGAAGTTGTGCTTACCAATTTGTAGCGACGAAACAATAGATTCCATTATGCTTATATATATACGTTGAGCTAGATAGATAATCACAGGTGGTTTCCTTTATTGTGTGGAGAGGTGAGGAAAAGGAAGTCGTGATGGGAAAAGGGAGAGGGGAAGCCGTAGCGTCTTCGATTCGAGGGGGGAGTTAGGTCGCGAGACTCCGTGATGGAGACATTCGATTTGACGGTCCCCACAACCCGTGATAGATGCACTCTCCCCGAAGAAGCAGCAAAATAATCGATAGATGGTGTCGCCGTGATTGGGGGAGGGTGAAAAGAAGTAGACGGTTAGCTTTTATAGTGCGATCGGAAAGGCGGTTAGCCTTTGATCGTTTTCGACGTCGAGAGTAAAAAGACACCTCGCGACGATGTAGCGAGCGCGCGCGAATGAGAGGGAAAGCTTTCGCGGTGGGGGCCTTGGAGACGTCGTAGCTTTCGTCGCTAATTTTAGTCCCCGATCATGCGTACGCACGTAAGCTCGCGGCTTCGCCTCCTGAAAGCCCTGTTGCGCTACTCGGCCCCAGCGTTCGCCGTCGCTAACGGTGCACGGCGTCGGTGAGCCAATTAGCGCGAGCGGAGTGTTTGGATTTGGCCCGTCGAACGATGTCGCGTTCCTTCATCGCTAGCCGCGGCGTCCTTTGTTTTGTTTTCACTGTCCATTGTGTGCCGTCTGCTATGCGACGCGACGTCGGCCCCTGTCGCCATCTTGCGTGCCGGCCGGCCGGCATCGTTCCCCGGCCCCGTCCTTCACGCTCACCTTCAAACGTGCGCGCGCCAGCCGATTGGTCGGTGCGCGGGACGCTCCTCCGCGCGCCATTGGCGGGGAGCCCCTCCGGTTGCCGTGGCAGCGGCGCCACGTCACGCGCGGTGTTTCGTAGTCATTTGCTTTTTCTGGGTGGCGGTGGGGGACGCTTGGTTCGCAGTGCGACTAGCGCTAGCGGGCCAAAAAGAAAATGCAAAAGGTGGCCGTGAATATCGCCGTGCGCGCTGCCGTCGAATGCGAGGTGGCGCGTGGATGCAAGCGTTCGCCGGCGTTTGCGCGAGTTCGGAGAGCTCCAAGGTGCACTCTGAAAACAACAGCGTCACCAAACCCTTGCAAAAACTGCGCATTAGAGTAATTCCGGAGAATCGCTAAGTACAATAAAACGGCCGTTTCAGTTTACCTCGCTGCCGATGCAAGCGCCCCTTTTCCCTCTAGCGGCAGGTCTTCGTCGCGCGGTCGGGGTTGCTGCGATGCGTCTCCTTGTAGGGGCTTGTGTGGGGGTGCATGTGATGGCGGCACTCCGGGCACGTGTCGTTGACTGGGCGCTCGTTTTCCGCCGTCATTTGAGCGGCAATTTGCGTAGATGGGAGTGGTGTGCGCCTCCCACGCCTTGGTCGGTAATCCCGATGACGCTTCCAGGCGTGTCGAAATAAAGCCCTTGTTTTTTTGAACCTGGTAATGCGGTGTTTGTTTTTATTTGGCGACGGTGTACAATAGCATAACTGCATTGCGGTTTTGACAACACATGACGACTTTGCGAATAACAGCACTGAGCAGAACCCGTTCATAACCACGGGCTCAATCAGCGTTGGCGTTGTGGCTCTGTGCAGAGTTTCTGTACGAAGTGGCGATTCAGTAATGCCCTTTTTTTTTGTGTATTTAGCCTAGACCAAGAACATTTCAGCAGTGCAGGCAATTCCTTCATGCTGATTTGAAGCATGTAATCATTTTAACAGTGACTTGAATCGTTTTTGTTTTGTATTGTCACAATGGTTAGATGTAAACCTTTTTTATTGCCACTTTTTTTTACAAGTTCTATATTTGTGATCCATTAATGGCTCGTATTCTCCCATCTCAGCTGTATAATGCTAAGAACTTGCTATAGATTGCATGTAGAATTTGTTACCCAAGTGCAGAGAATTAGAACCTGGGGTGTCATGCAATGGGCATTTTCTAGAAAGTCTCAAAGTAGAGATAAAAATCATTTTTCATATATTGGTAAAGTACGCTTCCACAATCATGAAAACACCACTCTTACCACGACATGCCACTTGTTAAGAGGAAAAACACGTGAAAAGAAAATGTGGTGACAACGGCACCTCGAAATTTCCGCACCAAACACCGTGACCTAAGCAATATTGAAGGCGTCTGCAGGGTCCTGTGTAACTTTCAGTCGATGAAAATCAAGTATCTCGTAATGAGTGTGTGAAATAGACTTAGCACACGAAATTTTATTGAGCCAACTCCACAAAAAGGCCGAAATTGCATCTTGAATTTTTTTTTTTTTTTTTTTTTTGTCTCGCGCGGAGATTTCGGCTTTAACATTAAAAATGAAACATACGCCATGATTTCCTTATCTAATAATGGACTTGTGATAGTATAATGTATGGCATTAAGAGTGCAGTTTGTCAATCTAAACCAAGTCATTGTTCCTTTTTTTATTGTCCCTAAAGTATACATCACAAAGACAAACATCTTAAAGCATCACAAGGCGAAATGAATTGCAAGTAATGCCTTTCAGTTCGAATCATGCAAAAATGAAATGACTTTACTATATATACTCGTTGTTAGGCTAATAAAAGACAGCCATAGCAGACACAATGTTAGAAAGTCGTCTTGGAGGCGAGCAATTCGATTAAGCCAGAACTTTCCTTTAATGTTGGAAACGAAACAAGCACTGCAAGGTTTCTGAAAAGCCTGTTGAGACAACCTTTGTGTACTGAATAATTCTCTTTAACGTCATTTGAATTGAAATTGTAGAAATCTATAGTACATTTTCATCTTCGCAACATACCACTGTACCTTCTCTTTATTAGGGAGTGCTCTATGATAAATTATGTTAATAAGACGGCAGCCATTTTATGCATACCTTCAATGTGTGGCGACGTTGGCGGCAACCAATTGCTTTTGTATGTCTGTATTAGTGTACTGCGTATATCCTATTCTCATGGTCTTTCTGTGTGCTCTTTCAGGTGTCGGAAGATGATGATGTAAAGAAGAAGGTCCAAAAGGTGCGTCAAGTGCCTTTCTTATACTTGCAGTCTTTTGCTGCTCCGGTGTAGCAGGCTATTCGCTCAGTATTTCATGTATTAGCACAGAAACAAATTACTGGTGCTCTGCAGGTATGTTCTAAAAGCCCGAATACAGTCCACATTGCCTAACTCGCTCATCTACCTCCCTCCTGAGCAGTCTTTTTTTTTTTTTTTTTTTTTGCAACCTGCATTGCATGGTTGTTTCAGGAACTTGGTTCAAAATGAGGATCATTCTAGTACATTGGTGTCGGATTTTTGTTAAGGTGTGGTGACTGTACAATGGAAAATCTAAGTAAAGAGCATGTAAATAGGTTTTTACTGGACCACGGCATCTGTGGTGTCATAGGGGTGTAGGAACTGTGGGTTGTTTAACTCTGTACAGTGAAACCTTGGTTATACAAATGTCGCAAGGTAAGAAAAAGTATTCCTATCAACTGGAATTCGTATCGCCAAAAAAACTGAAAATTCAGTATGCAGAAAAAGGAAGTTGTCATGCACAGCTCTGAATGATTGCCAGTAAAGTTTCTAGATGTCAACGATCCCACTTGGAACTCTTAATATATGGTGGATGTGTGGAATAACGGTTCACAACAACCGTACTTCATTACATCAGAGGCTAACAGGCCTCCAGTGCAAAATTTATATCACCCCCTCCCCGAAGTTTGCATGAGCTGCGATTGTATCACCGAGGCTTCAATGCTGTAATTTTTTATTTTTTGATCGGCACCTGCATTACCTGAATTGCATTAGATTATTTTTCTTAGCTCTTGTTGAGCAACAATACTGCCTTTAATAAGTATATTGACAGCACGCTTAAGTCATTTTTCTATTGACACAATTAAAAGACTTGCTCGCAAGGAATAAATTGTTGCTTTTAGCCATCTTCAGCATATCACACCAGCCGAGTTTAGAGGTCGCTGAAAGTATTCAAATTGGCACAAATGCTTAAGCAGGGACAGTGATTGTCAGGGGGGCACCTATTTTAGCATCTAGCCAGCAAGGAATGCTGGGTTTTCCATTGTTCACCTATCTAGTTTGACATCTCTGAGTGACAACACGTCGTGGGGCCATCTTTACTTGATCTGGCTATTATTCACATTGTTTCTTGCAGCACCCTTGGATCCTCACTTTGGCACAACTCCACTATAGGTCACTTCCATCAAAACTTGGTAGCAGTAACACTGCGAATAAAAACCCCATACTGCGGAGGGCACTTCTGTATAACTGGGCCAGTTGTAACACTGCCAACAGAAAACCCCTAGTGGCAGTCATGTGCCACGCGAACTCTGCCAACCCCTCTGCCTAGCAGTGGCCGACTAAAGTGTAGTTATCCATGGGCAAACGCCACTGCTTCGCACTGGTCCATAAGGATGTTGCGAAATGGAGAATTAGGAGAGGAGGTGCGTGGTGCTCAAATAGCTCCTCAATATTGGGCTTGGAACATGAAGCGTGATGCTGCTCATATGAAAAGGAGCATTGGCTAAAGTCGAAAATGCCTTTCATTAAAATTCAGTGTCACCCCCATGCCTGTTAGCTAAGAAGCGTTACGGATCATCTGCCTCGAAGTTCAATGGTGCGTCATTCTTCTTATGGTGCAGTGACATAAGCATTTCATGTGACTGTGCATTGAGGCAAGAATGCCAAGTTTGCTGCAGCCTGTGAGTGTGTTCATTGGGTAACTTCTTTCTTTTCATGTACCTCTCCAACCTGGTAATGCCAACAGACGGACCACAAAGGTGAGTTTCTAACCTTAAATGCAGTTTCCAGATTTCAGTTGCAGCTGAGCGTGGCCAGCACAGTGGCCCAAACATCTGCACGATGGGCTTTTTTGTCCTCGGTGTGAAGTCGGCACTTATGTGATCGGCACTGCTGACATTATATTTAGAGTTGTCTGTTTTTCTCAATGTCTGATCTTTTATGTTAATATTGGATTCCTTCATTAATAATTTGGTATGTGAGAACATCTAAAAAGCTTGTGGACATTACCTGGCAGTAGCAAGTGCCAAGTGGTGTTCTTTGCAGGCCATCCATAATCATGGCCACTTTTGTTGCGACTCTCTAGCAAGGTACACAATAAATCTAAGGGTACTCTTGAGAGAATAGTCACGTTCGCCTTCAAGGAAGGTGTACACCTAGTGATGTGAGCTTTGTTGATTTTACCGCACATTTTGCCATTCCTTCTCCGGATGGATCTTTCTGTCATAAGCTGTCACTTCTTGCTTGGCATGGTCCAGATACTCCCAACCCCTATTTAGTAAACATTTCCGCTTGCCAAGGCTTCAATAAACACCAGAGTTGGAGCAGAGTTTGTTGAATTGAGTGAGTTGCGTGTTCCAGTGCGAGGGTGAATATAAGTTGCCTGACGCAGCTTCTTCAGTTGATAAGAGTTGCGTTCCCGTCGTAGAATAGGAGGTATTGCGCTCCATATCGGAGATTATTGCTTGCAGTGTCTGCCAGCTGCACTGAATATGCTGTAACTTGTCGTTATAGTGTTGTTCACCCCCCCCCCCCCCCTTCCCCCGAGTTATCTCTTCACTTCTTGGTTTAAGTAGCCTTTAAACCCAACCATGCTTCTGCTTATCACTTTTATGTATAACCTATTTTGCATAGAATCTTGCTGGTTTAGGTCAGGCTGCTATACAGTTGCTGTAGGTCAAGCGTTTCTGGTGAATTGGGGTTAGACAGTAAACATTTGATAAAGCTTGAGCCATAGCTTCGTAGTACTGCACTAGAGGGAAATGTGGTACTAGTGTCTATAGATGCTGCATTCATGGCACTTTAGCCAGCATGAGAATTATGGGTAGTACATTAATTTACCTTAGCCTTGTCCTTTTGGTTCCATGTGGCCTGCAGCTGCATTGTTGCAAGACAAAGCTCTGTAGCCTCACTTCACCATCTCTGCCCCTTTAGGCTGACTAATTCGAATTGGCTCAGCAAGGTTTGGAACGAGCCGTGATTCTATATGAACTACAAGCCAAAGTACATAGGGAGCGATAAGTGCATTACGAAGCTGAGCTCATGAAGATTAGGTGAATCTATGTACTATCCTGTCATTCCCATAGTGCCATCACTGTTACCTCTTGTGAATGAAGTAGACTCTTAGTAAACAGAACCTTAAGGGACCAAGGAAATGGATCTTGTTTAACCGGATCTCCATTTACTGAGAGATGAACAGGGTAGCAGTAATTAAGGCACGACGCCAGTAGTAGTTCAGATGGTGCAATTCTGTTTACTGAGTGTCCACAGTATTGTAGAAAGCTTTGTGGCTTGCACGACTGTTTCATTGCTTCATGTTCCTCCTTCCTTGTTACTGTCCACGCAGACAAGAAGGAAAACGGAGAGTCGGATGACAAATATGAGGAGGGTGCCGGTGATGACGGCGAGGGTGATGATGACGACGACGATGCAGTTCCCGACGGCGAGGACTACGATGAGGAAGGGGATGACCCCGAGGGAGACGACGATCCCGAGGACGATGATGAGGATGACGCGTAAAGTGGCTAGTAGTGGGACCGACGACGACGCGCCGCCGCTGCTGCTAAAATGCGCTTTCCCCTCCTCTTCCTCGCCACACACTCCCTCTCCCCTTCCGTCCGCGCTCTTCTAGTGGGAAAAAAGCTAGGGGGGAAGAAAACCTGCAGTCCCTTCGGCCGCCGCTGCAAGCGACGTCTGCCGCCACCATCCTACTGTCCCAGCAGTCGTCGGATTTGTCCCTTTCTTTTTTCCTTCGTTCGTCGGCCACAGCTCTACTCCAGTTCGGGTTGACGGCTCGACGGAACGAGTGCCGGTGAATGACATTTCGCCGCTGCCGCTCCTTCCTCCGCTGCGTGTGTGTGGCCGGGCATGCGTGAATTTTTTTTGTGTGCGTGCGTGTGCGTCTTCTGCCACAGGAGCGTCCTTGAGCCAGCCGAAGGGATTGGTCCCTCTTTTTTTCCTCCTTCTGTCTGATCCCAGTTCCCTGTATCTCCTTCTCGCTCTTCTCTTTCTCCTCTATTTGAACAGTCTCTTCGTTTTTTGTATTGTATTTTGCGTTTCGTCACATCAACTCATTGCCGTCACACACACACCTTTGCCGTGTTTCTTTTTTTTTTTTTAATGGTTTCTGTTCTTACGGCTCTTCAAAGAAGACTGAAAACATTGGGTGTGCATGGGGGGACAAAGAAGACTGGTGGGTTACCAAGGTTTTGTTCCTTGTGTATGTGTCTCACACACTTCTAATTGGTTTGTGTTGGGCTGCCTTGTTGTTCTACCTTCCTTGTATGACGAAAGTGTTTTGTCACTGAAGCTTTATTCGGTTGTTTTCACCCCCACCCCCTTAATTGGAGAAAGTGCTTGTTTATGCATTTTTGTTCATGTGGTTGCAGCATGTCCTCTTCACATCATGAGTCGGACATCCAGAGTTGTTTTCAGTTGTTGACGTCATTCTGTCACCTCGCATCACATGCATCATGACGAAACAAAACAATTGTTGAGCGACATTGTGCAAACATTTTGAAGTCTGGCACTTCCCCTTTTTTTTTTCTTGCAAGGCGCAGCTTCTAAAGCATTGCTTTTTTGTTTCAAACCATTTTCAGGCCTTCCCTTGTCATTTTTCATCTGCAAATATGGCCCAGTCATATTGTAAAATGTATTTCAGTGACTCTATGTAATAGATCATTGTTTTTTGTTTTTTTTTTTCACACAAAAACATGGCTTTCTGAAGGGCCATGGCTAAATGTGTACTACAGTTTTTCAATTCTGAGCTATTGTTCGGGGTGCTAGATGTTTTTGTTGCCAGGCTTCCTGGCATGCGGGGGCATCTGGTGTTGAGTGCCGTGCGACTTGTTATGACATTCACACGACTGTGTTCAAACATGTTTGCATATAGGGTGTGGTGTGCGAAATTTCATGCGCATTTCCTTGGCATCACTTCTTTTCTTTTTCACCTAATCACCATTTAAGAAAACAAGCTTTGGATTTCCTCTTTTTCCTGGTTAATACACATTATTATTCCTCAAATGAAATTAAGGGCATGCACTTTTCAATGCAACCACAGTGTTTATATATTTCTTTGTCGATGGGAAATGCTAAATAGAAAAGGGGAACCACATTGGATCAGCCAATAAACTATGTCATTCGATTTTTGCATCATCACCAAACTGGTGGCCACGAGTGTATGTTAATTACTTTGGTCCTGCTCATTCGAAGTGTGTATGTGAGTTGCTTGCAGCTCTAGGGGATGGAAAGGTTAAATTTTTTACATGTGAATTTTCTAGCTACAGTGGCACTGCCATACAGACAGCTATGTTTGAACAAGTCTGCAATTAAGTTTTCGCTTCCTTGCTCCCATGTCGTCGTCGGGATCAAATTTGGCTTGGGTTGGGAGTGGAGCTTGTCACAAAGCCCAACTGTACATTTTTTGCCAAAGCGAAACTAAAGCCATTGTCACCTCAATAAAGTTTCTTGGTGGGGCTTTTCAGGTCTGCCTGAGCTAAGAATGGAATTAAGGCCCCCCAGTACTATTGCAAGCTTTCTTTGTAAAGCCTGTTCTGTGTTGTGAAAGAGTGAATAGAGCTTAGTGCGGGAGTGGTGAAATTGGACCTACCCACGTGTTCGTGTAGGGTTAGCGAGCATGGTGCAGCTTTTGCACTGTGGCTAAACGTTCTGGTTAAGTGGGGAAGGCTTGGGGTAGGGTCCTAGTGCCACTGTGTTTGGAGCGGGTTTTCTCCTCACTGTGGTTTCATTTCCATCCCCTTTAAGTTTTCTTGATGACAATGCACATTTTGTTGGATTTTTTTGTGAACGGAAAGTACTTTCACACTGTAGATACATGATGAAAAGAGAAAACACGATAACAAAAAAAGTTGCTGTGTGGTGCTCACATTACTTCTCATGCCTAAGGAAAACCTTTATTATGCGGCTTGGATTCGAATTCTGAAAGAGCACTTCCACAATAGGTGCACTGTGGTTGCTACTCTTGGCCTGGCTCAATCTCAATTAGGCTTATCAGCATAACTAGGCCACTCAAATCAGAGTATCTGGAGCAGCTATTTGGTCTTAATTGGCAGCAGTTATGCTTCGACTTCATTAGCCTCAACTTAGGTCAGTGGTAATTTGTACCTTCTTGGGTCTTAGCAAGCTTCATTGTGAATTCATCGTTCGTTGGAATTTGATTATCCCCACTTAATTACTATGCCTATGTTACCTATGCTTATTAGCTTGGGCCGCATGCATCTTAATTAGCTAAGTCGTAATTAGGTGACCTTGACTAGGTAGCAAGTTTCCTGAGCTTGGCTTCACTAGCGTTGTTAGACCATATTGCCTGCTTTCTGTAGCTCGTAGCTCATACTCGTGTTTGATAGTTTTTTTTTTTTTTTGCAATTCGAACTGACATGACGAAAAAGTTAAGTTCCGCTGCCCGTTCCAGTGGAGAGCTCGCTGCACTGTAGCATTTCTCGGGCTTCAACGAAGTTTGGCCAGCCAACCGACGTAAAAAAAAAGCTCAACTGGTCGTTCAGTGCAGCCGCATCACGTTGGCGATCATAGGCTGGTAGCCAGCTAGTTTGGATTATATTAGTGCAGTTGCAAACGTGATGTTACTGTTGCCCTCGTCTGGCAGAGCTTTGCGAGTATGGTTCTCAGCGGTTTTGCACCCCTGATATCCGTCTGGTTTCACCGACAAACAGTCCAACTGATCTGGCTCGTTTTGAATACCAGGTCAAGAGAGAGAGAAATAACATATATCCGGCGTGTAGGAAGTCCCTGGACTCGCAGGTGCGCGGATGTTCCCTATCTTAAAATCACGGCTATTAGAGTTCGATAATCTCGGAGCCTAGACCTCGAGGATGTTGTGCTCCGACTAGGCGACAGTTACTCGGGTGCCTCCGCGCCTGTTAGACATTTTGTCGGCTCCTTTCTCCGTTGCTTCGCCAAAGCCTCCTCAAGCCGCTGGATGGCCCTTCGTTGCGTCTTCAGGTCTTAGAGTGTATCCAGCGATGTCTGCTAAGGCGACTGGCTTGTGAGGCGTGTATTAGCGCGCGCATTAGCGTTTGCACGGGTGGCCTTAGAGAGGTGGTGGCAAAGTCGGCCTTGTACCTTGACATAATAGGGTGGAGTAGTGGCACGAACCCTTTAACGTCGAAAATTTGGACCAATGAATAAAAAAAATTAGTCTGTTAGACGCCCTGGTCAAGACATTCTGTAGCTGTTAACTCTCGCATAGCGTGTGTCGGAGCTTGAGGTGCTGTTCCTCCAATGACGAACTGTGATATTGTCCAAGAGGGCCCTTATCGGCTTAAAAATGCAACCATTATGGAATATGAAACAAAATGGACGGATTAGAGTTAGGAAGGCGCCCATCGTGACACGCTAAACGTTGTTCAAAAAAAAAAGTCTCGACGAGATCCACTTACGAGGTAATAGCGCATCGCAAGTTTCTTGCGAAGGCTTCAGGCATAATCAAGCTACTACAACCTTCTCTCAGATGAGTTTATTGTCGTGGGTGCCCCCATTCCCAAAGAAAAAATATCCAGGCGCCAGCCCCTGGCAGCGTGGTGTAAAAGGGGTATCAAGGTTGCTCATTTAAAGGAGTAACTAACCTGCTACACCCATTGCACTATTTTGGGAGTAACTGTGAAGGAGTAACAGTGCTGTCGCGGTTACTCCTCAAAGGAGCAAACCTGTTACACCCATTGCACAATTTTGGGAGTAACTGTGCTCGCGCGTTTACTCCTCTCTCAAAGGAGCAACAGTTTTGCGCATAAGAAAAATCAGGCTTCGGTTGACTTAACCAGCCTTTCGGGGTGCGTGCAGGCATTTGATTACATGTGCAATCCATGTGCAAGCATCACATTTAGAAATAAATTTCGCAAAAATTGCAGCAAACGCACACTGTTCGAACTCGCGACTACCCATTCAGCATGCATGCGCGAACACTAACCACCACATCGCGCTACCGCACTATCTGACAGGAAACGGGCTTGTGTAAGCAGGGATGCATCGTTTGCACGCTAAAAAACGGGCGCTTTACTCCACAAGGAAGAAACTGCCCCTTCTCGCCGCGCCATGTGCAATCTTTTGCGCACATTTCGTCTTCTGGAGGAGCAAAGAGCCCTTTTTTGGGTAATGTACAGTTCCTCCAGAAAACTTCTTATTGTGTACCAATAACGGAGAGAATGCAGGGATAACGTTCCCGGGAAAGCTAAGTCCTTGGCTGCCTTCTCCCATTTTTTCAAATCGGCAGTTGTGCCGGTGACCAAAATTCCCAGAAACATTACTAACATGCCTGTTTAGTTCATTTACCCTTGACCTCAGTGATACATTTATAAATTATCGCTGTAAAGTGTCGCGTGCAAAGAAAATTAATAGTGTACTTGAGCCATATATCGGTTCACGATCTCCTTTTAGTATAAGTCGAACAAATGATTCATTCGTCTATGGGTATATGCGTGCAGCAAGAAAACATTCGATCATCATGTTACAGCTGCGCTTGACGATAAATTAAGCAGAAGCGGATGTTGTACTCAATACGATAGAAGGTGACCACACAATTATGAAGCTAATTACTGTTGCAGTCACACTGGATCGGATTGTGCGTGAATGCACTGGCTTCCACATTAGGGAGCTTTAGAATACCGTTTGCAAGCGTGGCGGACGTTGCGGGTGCCATTAGAGTTTTAGAATAGCGTTTGCCCTGCTGCGAACCGCAACGCACGATCGCAGAAACACCATAGCCTCGAAACCAGCGCTTGCGGGGCCACATCGGCTGCATTGCCCTGCTGTGGTCCGCGAACGCCGACTCGCCTTACGACGCATGCGCAGTGGCAGCAACCGCACCGCAAGGGCTCGCGGTGCGCTACTCTAAAACTCCCTATTAGCTAGCGCGTTTTTAGGCCCAATGAAGACCACGTGCAAGAAAAAGTATTACAGTAGTGTATTGACATAGGCGAGTTGTTACCTACTCGTACGAATACAGCGCGGGCTAGACGAAGACAGGAGGAGATGCCCAAACACTGCACTCGCATGTGTTTTATGTGTTCGCCTAAATCTAACTGCATTCGTCTGAGCAAGTATTACAAATCGCCAAGGAACGAAGTGATGCAAGCATACGTGGTCGTTCTTTCCAAACTTGTCATGATAGCCATGTTGCAGTAGACCTAATGTCAGCACAGAGCGAAGCCTCCATCCGATCCTGGAGGGCGCATTTCAGAAGTGGTCGTTCTTTCTGAACTTGCCATGATAGCCATGTTGCAGTAGACCTAATGTCGGCACAGAGCGAAGCCTCCATCCGATCCTGGAGGGCGCATTTCAGCATGAGTACCGGCGAACTTGTCCGATTCTCTGCGCACTGTGCTCCTTCGCTTGGCTGCTACCAGAGCGTATTGCTGAGAAACGTCGAAGAGTCATTCTCGTGTGGGCAAATGGGCTTGCAAAAGATAAACTTGTCTAACTGTTGTTGAGATGTAAAGTTATTAGAGCGAAAGCGCTACCATAGAGAAAGGCGCTATGGCGCTACAGCGTCATGACTTCCAAGGTCATTCATTCATCGCGTCGCCATGACTATTTGCGGCTGAAGTGCAAATGTGGGACGCATGGCACTTTGCAGTGGGCCACGTGGCCCACTGCAAAGACATTTCCGTACGTGCACGACGGTATACGTCGAGGCAAGCTTCGTTCTGTCATACGATAAAAATACCTAATGGGTTATATTGGCCATATATGATGGGCCACGCACTCGATCGATGTTCCAGATTGTCGGCAATTGAAAACATGATTTTTAATGCGCATGCTGGCAGTGGCAGACGCGTACTGTCATGAATGAACTTTCGCCGCGTGCAAAAAAAAAAAAAAAGAACTGATTACACGGCCACAGCACTAAAAAGCCAGATAAGGCTAGTCATGTCCTCCGTATCATTGAAGCATCTCCCACTGACTTGGCGGCGTGGTAGCTAGCTTACATATATGCTTTAGCCACTGCGAAGTGAGTAGAACTGCTGGCCTCAATTTTTCTTAGCTTTTTTTTACGTTCTCGCGTCTTGCTTTTGCACTCCCATTTCATGAGAATGTCGACTGTAGAAGTGTATAGGGCCTGCTGCGCGAACGTGGCTCAGCGTGAGAGGCACGATGTGGTATCTGCAGGTGCTTGACGAGATCGCGTAGTCAGCGCACACGTAAATTCACGCTCGAAGCACTGTGCACGCATTGTAACACGTGGCGCACGTGAAAGAAGACATGTGCGACGGTGACAGTTATAATTCATGCATTAAGTGCCAGTTAGATACCGCCGCTAAATGATTATACCCTGATGAAGCGACAAAAATAGCCCAAACCAGCGATGTCCAAGTTTTCTGAGAATTCACGGACGTACGTTCCGGCGCAAGGACACGTGAAGTGCAGGCGGCGAGCCTTCGAAAATGTACGGAGTTCACTTCAAAGCAACCAAAAACGCAACGATGGCTGCGCGGTATGGCGTATGCAAACGTGAACAACCAACAACGACAGCTTCGTCTTACGAACAAAAGTAATAAAAAAAGTTGTTTCACAATTCTAGAAACAGCGAGAAATCATTACTGCAGTCGTTGCGTGGACGAAGCCGCGTTACGAACTGGTTCAGATATTAAAAACAATTTCAAGCGAAGAGCTGAGACAATGAAAACGAAAGGCGAGAAGGAGCTAGAACTTACTTTGTTCTTTTAATTTCGATGATCCAAGCCTGTGTTATTTCCCTCTGCACGACTTGTCCGGCAACAGATAGTTTTAAAGGTGGATCGCGTGCCCTGCACTGACGTGGCACACAACAATACTTCGAATCTCGCTGAAGCTTTCGTGGAATCACTTCTGCCATCGCAGAAAGGTAACTTCGAA